TGGACGGTGCTGAGGCTGTCGGTGTGTCCCTGGCCTGATCGAAGCTCTATTTTTTAAAAGTAGGTTAAACATTTTTAAATAATTGTTATTAAAGACATATTGAAGTAATATTGTGTACCGATTGAACTATTTGTAGTTCTAGCTTTGAAGAGGATCCCATGGTTGACTAAAAAAAAAGAAAATACCGGGATCGAAACGTCAATAAACAGAAGAAATGAACATTCAATAGTTTCTTAAATAATATAATAAGTAACCTTATTCCCAATTATACTAAATAGCTAATAAACTAAATAAACTAATAAACTAAACTAAATAGGAATACAAAAGAATCGTAAAAATCGTTAGAGCAATAATATAATTAACGTTCTCGCAGATTATATATTTTTGGCGTTGCTATCTTTGATAGTGACGTGAGACCACTATTAACTTCCTCTGCTTGTTAAGCTTGCGCCCTTTAATACTGTTGGGGTCCATACTTATCCCTTGGACCAAACCTCAGCAGTTACTCTCTCGAGTGAGGGCAGCGTCGCGCTGACAAGCGGACCTCCTTTCTTCCTTCATTCGTGATGGCGAACCAGAATGAGAACCTTCCTATGGAGATTCCAGAGCCTGAGGCCTCCGAAGATAAAAGTGGGAAGAGGATTCACGAAACTGACAGCGAAGGCCTTGGATCGGATATTGAAGGCTACGCCCCAGTAGCCAAACGACACACGTTTCCCGCCCGTACCGTCCCGGAAAAGCCTTCCCAGATCCCAATTGCCAACAAGTTTTCCGTGTTGAGAGTGAATCTACCGGAGAAAAACAGACCGCCGCCAATCATCATAGCACCTCCGATAGCCCAGGCAGCGCTGAAAAATATACTGATCGAGAATAATATAACATTATTCTCTATCAATTCATCATCAAAAGAAACTCGGCTGTATGTCAACTCCGAGAATGACCACTTTCAAGCCACTTTACTGTTGCGCCAGGACAATAGGGTACAATTCCACAGTTTTGCTCCCAGAGGCACTAAGCGATCTCGAAAATATGTGCTTCACGGATTCGATATTGATTTCCCCGTCGAGGAGATAGTCGAGGAGTTAAAAACCAGATTACCAGGATTCAGACTCGCCCGAAGACTCACAAAGAGATACAACCCGAATGAACCACCAAAACCTATCGAGCTGATCCAGATAATTACAGACGACTCGGTCAAGCTGACAGACATTGCTAAACTTTATCATATATCGCAGTGTAAATTTCGTGTGAGCATCTTTAAAGAAGATGGGGTCCCAGCACAGTGCCGAAATTGTCAAGAATACGGACACACTATGAAATATTGTGGCCGAACATGTGCGTGCCCCTGGTGTGGAGGTGTCCATACCCTTGAACAGTGCCCGAAGACAGTAACTCCCTGGTGTAAAAACTGTAAAGGTGCCCACCCCACCTCCTCCAAAGAATGCTTGAAGAGACAGGAGTTGGTGAAGAAAATTAGGGAAATCACCAAAGGAACACCGACGAAAACGAATACCAGCAAACAGAGTAAGTGGGTCCAGGAGGGCCTGGCATACAGCACAGCAAGCGGAGGAGCGCCGGTCCAATCAGAAGGAACCTCTCCCCACCACCAGTCTCATCCCCACCACCAGCACGCCACCCAGTTCAAGGAACAGACTGCACCAACGCAATCGCCTCAGCCTTCAACAAGTACCGATGCCTCCCTGACGTCTCTAGTGATGACGATGCTGACAAGAATGGACAAGCTGATGGATATAGTTGCCCGCATGCTAGATGCTATGACGAAGAAGCATCATGATTAATCATCTCGTCATGAATTTCAACACCAGAGGCCTCTTCCAGAAGCAGGCTGAAATCGAGCTCCTTCTTCAGCAGCATAGACCTTCAGTGGTGGCGTTGACAGACACCATGCTTCACACCTCGACTCGTCCATACTTCCAGGGGTACACTATATACCGAGAGGTGTGTGCACCAGGGTCTCGAGAGGGAGTAGCCATCCTGGTCAGAAAAGATGTACCTTCGAGATCCGTCCCGAACCCAGTGGAACCAACCGAGGGAACTCACTTACTCACAGTTGACGTGCGACTTAAGAGTCGGTTCACATTCACTTGTGTCTATAGGAGACCCAGGGCTGGACTGACATCTGTTAAGCTGCTGCTACAACATGCCCAGGTGACGGGTCGGCATGTAGTCCTTGGGGACTTCAATGCTCGACACACTTCCTGGCTGTGTGGTAGCGACAATCCACTGGGGAAGTACATTACCAAGACTAGGTTGGCCGTCTTTCACCCAGGTGTACACACTTTCCGGCATTCAGCCCGACCTGATTGGACATCAACGCTGGACCTGCTATTAACCAGGGATCTGCACATCATTACGGATTGCCAAGCGCTTCCGTATGGACCGTCGGATCACCGGCCTGTGCTCTACACGATCGAGGGCACACCCGCCAAACCACCGGCGAGTAAATACTTACTCCACAAGGCCGACTGGAAAGGATACAGGTCTAGCGTTGAATCCACTTTACCGGCGGTAACGCCGTGCCAGACAGTAGAAGAGGTAAACGAGGCGGTGGATGTCATCACCACCACTATCCAGGATTCAGCCAACCTGAACATCCCTAGGTTCGCTCCGCAGCCCAACGCCATCAGGAGACCACCACGTCACATCCTCGCCCTGATCAGTCAGAGGAACAACCTGAGGAACATCTTTCAGCGCACGCGTGACTACAGCTTGAAACCGGCCATCAATGCGATGACCCGGCAGATAGCCAGCCTCATGCGAGACTGGAAGACCTCACTCTGGCATGACCAGCTCCGGAGGACTCATAATGACCACCGCCAGTTCTGGAGACTGGTCCGAACGTTCGTTAACAAGAAGAGGACTGTCCACCTGACGTCGGGGAATGAGCTGCTGACACCTAAGGAACAGGCTGAACTCCTGGCCAAAAGCTATGAAGCGAGGGATGCTGAGCGGACGAGAAATGCACCACCAATGCCGGAAGGACCACTGCCCAGTCCCAACGAAGAACCCGTCTTCTCTACCTTCAACCAGCTGGAGTCGACGCTACGACGCACCAAAGGAAACAAAGCGTCTGGACTGGATGAGATTCCGTACGTACTGTTGAAGATGCTCCCTAGGAAGGGTAAAGCCTTTCTACTGAACATATTCAACTCATGTCTTCGAATCTCATACTTTCCTACCGCATGGAAACAAGCGATCGTTGTACCGTTACTCAAGCCGGCGAAGAACGGGGACTCAGCTGAGCACTATCGTCCGATCAGCCTCCTCTCGCACATCAGCAAGATTTTCGAGAGGCTAATCCACCATCAGCTTATGAAGCACTGCTGGAAAGAGAGCATCATACCACCAGAGCAGACTGGTTTCCAGAGAGGGGTCGCGTGTGAACACCACCTAGCTAAACTTCAGGCCCACACAATAGATGAAATGAGTCTCAACAGAGCTACGGCGCTCATCTCTTTGGACTGCAGTCAGGCCTTTGACTGCGTGTCACACACGCATCTACTTCGCCGTCTGGAAGAGTTCAGGTTTCCTACCACTCTATGCCGACTGATCCGAAGCTACCTCAGCGGAAGATCTCTCGTCGTACGAGTTGGTACAGACTACTCAAACCCAGTCGATACCACCTGCGGAGTACCTCAAGGGTCTGTGTTGGGGCCAATACTGTTCGTCGTTTTCACGGCGCCAGTGGTGGCACTCAAGCATCCAAAGGCGGTGGTAGCAGCCTATGCGGACGACATTGGCATATATGCTTCCAGCATCAACGCGGAGACTGCACTCACTCTGGCACAGAATGCTTCAGCCACAATTGTTGAAGAGCTAGAAGAGATCGGTATCAGAGTGAATCCTGCGAAGACTGATGCTATTGTCATGTCGTTTCAGAAGGGAAAGAAGCATCTACCCACACAATTCACCGTTGGAGGAGTTTATCATAAAATTTCTACCTCGATTGTCTACCTCGGCGTCACGCTAGATAGACATTTGACCTTCTCCAATCACGTTAGGCAGAGGATCAAGCTGGCACGAAAGAAGTCGCACCGGCTCTACCACCTACTGACGTCGCCGCAGCTCTCGCTGAGACTCAAGCTCCAAATTTATAAAGCTGTTATAAGACCAACACTGCTCCACGGGGCCCCTCTCCTGCGATACCTATATAAATCCACGCTTACGAGTCTACAGGGCTTCCAGAACTCTATCCTTCGGCGAATTGTCCGTGGCACCACCCTACAAAGGGCTAAGAATCAAACAATACGCGAGGAGCTCCAGCTCCCCTCGGTACCTGAGTTCATAGGCCGGAGGCACATCAAATTTTTTGATGGGCTGAAGGCCTGTGCAAACCCACTGTTCAATGAGATCTCACCACCACCCAGACCTGGGAGGTGGCAAGGTAAACTCCCTTTGGTGGACATACTCGCCGAAGGATGTGGTCTGGTCTCTGCGGTCCAAACTCATTAATTTGTATATATTGTAAATAATAAAACATTAGCAGAACGGTCCTTCCCCGTTCAATGTCAAAGTCACAAGGCCTTCTGCCACATATGTAACCTTTAGCTATCCCCAATCCTTAAAATGCCCTCGGGCAGTGGAAGGAATTTATTACATGATTATATTGTATTATAGTATACTATATATGTAATTGTTACAATAAACTTTTTGGAGGGTAAGAAAAAAAAAAAAAAAAAAAAAAAAAAAAAAAAAAAAAAAAAAAAAAAAAAAAAATAAATAGGAATAAAAACTTATTCCAATCAATTAAATAATTAAGTTTAAATATATATAACTACTATGCAGTCAAACATTCTTTTTATACAATTTTCTATCAATTTCTAACTTTGTTCAATTGATTTCGCTGGTGGGTAAAACTTAGGTTATAGGATAGTAATTGCGCCTTTGACACACGTGTGGATTAATCCTATGCCATATGTAAGTTTAATATTAAATTCAAATTACTTAATATTAACTAAATAAATAATAAAAAAGGATACCATAATTTGGCGATATGTGTTTATACCGACAGAAGATAAGTTTAAGTCCTTCTTTTCTTTAATCAATTTCTTTCTGTATGCTAAAATATCTTTTAATTTTGTTTCACCGATGTCAAAATCACTATGTCCTTCAACTTGACTTGAAAAAGCAAGAGGGTTTTCATTCTGTAGACTTCGATTTATGGCAGACAAACTTTCCTGTTCAGGAAAGAAAATTCAAAATTAGAACCATTAAATAATCAATTAAAATCTAGTAATCATAAATGTAACTATTCATTTATTTTTAGTGATTTCGCTCAGTCTCCACTTGATTTATTTAGAACCACTGACGCAGTTGAGAGAGTAGCGCAGAGATCTCTTGGAGTCCGGCTTTCCCCTGCATAGTTGGATGGGCAAGCCTTCCTTTTTTAATCTGCTTATCTTTAAGTTATGTTATTTTTTTTTTTTTTTATCGCATATACTTTTAGATTACTATTTAGCGTTTATTTTATATTTTCTTAATTTATTGTAACATATTTTGGTAGGGCCTTTTTAGAATCGTAATTATCAACAGATTCCATGTTTTGTTCCTTTATTATTTTTTAACTTTGTAAAATACATGCACATATCAAATCTAATGTGACGTAACACAAATTCATATTTATATACGTAAAATATTAAAAAATTCAATTTAATTTTATATATTATAATGGGCCTTATTATTTTTAATCGTAATTTTAAAAAATGTAAAGACATTACTACTATATAACTAATTATAAAAGAGTAAAAGGTATTATAGTGATGGGGCCGTATAGGTGGAGTTGTGATCCTGTCACAATGACGGGCGCACCGAAATCACAGTGACAGTCACAGTAGGCGCTGTGAAATCACAGTTCTGATCACTCCTATCTCTCCAGCGATCTGGGTATTGTTGACATAATTTATTTAGTAAATGAATAACCACAAACTTATTATTTCTAAAATAATAGTTATTCGTCAAATTTTATTTTATTTATTTATTTAGAAATATAATAATCTGTCACGTGGACAATAATTATCGATATAAATGAACACACTCACACTATATATACAGACAACATAGAATTAACAATAATAAAATAACAACTGAATCATAATCAATAACGTTAAGTTTTATTAAAAATACTTTTTGAAATTTAGATGAATTATACATTCAATGCCGTATATTTTGAATGAGTTATGTCTGAAATCTCTGTCACACTAATATGTTGTATTAGAGCAGATAGAGGGAGAGTTGTTCTCCATGAGAGGTAGAATTGTAAATAACTTGTGGCCTGGTGGCTGGTAAGTAAAGTGGCTTAATAATATTGTATATATATATATATATATATATATATATATATATATATATATATATATATATATATAATATTAAGCCACTGTATTGGTTATCAGTCTTTTACCCTTATTTTTCAAAATATTTGAAAAAAATGTTATTAAAATGCCTCTATCCATTTTTAGAAGCAAACAATGTTATTCCCAATCACCAATTTGGATTTAGACCTGCACACTCTACCATACAACAATGTCATAGAGTGATTGATACAATTGCTGTGGCATTGGAAAAGAAGGAATTTTGCACAACAGCTTTCTTAGACGTCTCACAGGGCTTTGATGAAGTGTGGCATGATGGTCTACTTTGTACAATTAAACCGATCTTTCCGCATACATACTATTTAATCATCAGATCGAATCTTGAGGATAGATTTTTTATTGTTAACCAATGTGGTAAATACTCCGACTATTGCCGAATCGGCGCGGAAGTACCGCAGGGCAGTATTTTAGGTCCGGTTCTGTACTCAATTTACTCTTCTGATATTCCACAGACACCAGACACATTACTCACAACTTACGCAGACGACACTGTCATACTCTCGACTGACTCTAATCCGATCACAGCATTTCAGAAAGCACAGATTCATTTAAATCTTCTACAAGACTGGCTTGATAAATGGCGCATAAAAATTAATATCCAAAAATCAAATCAGGTTATATTTACACTTAAACGTTCGGATTGCCCTCCACTGACACTTTACAACACCCCTTTGCCAAATCATACAGAGACAAAATATCTAGGACTCACAATGGACAGACGACTGACCTGGAAATCACACGTGACTACATTAAAAAAAAAGATTGAACCATCGATTGTCACTACTAAGACAATACACTACTAAGACAAGACAAGCCACAGCATAAAAACAAACTATCTCTTTCTAACAAAATTACTATATACAACATGCTACTCAGACCAATAACACCTCTCAGGTGTGGGGTTCATGCAAAAAAACACACTTACAGACTATTCAAATTTTCCAATTAAAATTTCTCCATTATATCACTCATTGTCCCTTCTACATAACCAATAAATCACTTCATAAAGACTTACAAACACCACAAGTGACTGACGTAATTAAAAAATATTACAAAAATTTTCATGACTCCCTAGCTGGACATCCTAATCCACTTGTACAAACATTATTAACGGACACACTACCACAGAATCCACCAAGGAGACTCAAACGCCTCTGGAGCAGGGACCTCCTGCATTAAGTCACTTTAGGAGTGCCTTCACTGGGAGGTTTCTCCAATCACGCAGTCACGCTAATCCCGAAGAGGGGATTCGCTAACGAACATCACATTTACAAAATATGCCAAAAGACATTTGTAAAATTGCTCAATAAATAAATTTATTATTATACTGTACTGGTAAGACGTGCGTAGCGCCCTCTGGTCTGAGAGTGACTTGTTCTGAACTATTTCATTCATTCAGCAAGTTATCGTTTCTTCTACTGGTGATTGGTGTTTTTTTTGTTTTTTTAAACGTAATATATTAGTTCCACAGTGAACTACGTATTTTCTTTAGAACTTATTCATTATTTGTTATTGTAATTATTCTTTTTCGAACAAATAATGTTTATAATATTTTTAATACTAGTATTTATGGACTGCAATTGAATAATAATAAAACTGTTGAGTTTGGCAACTAACAGATCGCGTTAAAGAAAAAACACTATTCACCAGTAGAACTTAGATACGGCTTAGTTATAGTGGTATAATAACGTTTTCGGTAAATTATATTGATTGTATTAACGAACAAATATTAATACAATAATTTAACTGTCAACAGAAATTTATTTATTTTTTTAAATTTAACTTCCTTTATTCTATACGGAGGTCGTTTAAGAAGGCCTCTATTACAAAAATTATATAATTATAATAATAAAGAACAGTCCACGACAGTCAACCAATTACCAATTATGAATTATAATAATAAAACTTAATTCAAAAATAATTTGCTGAACATCTTGAGTTTCTTATTTAACGGTTGCAATTTAACACTTTGTTTTGTATATTTACTAATTCTTACGGGTAATTAAAATTGTATATACTTTACAGGAAATGATTCATATCAATACTTGTTTTATAAACTAAAATAATATATACCTAATCTGAACTTCATATAATAGTTGCCGAGTTGATTAGTAAAACTTATTGTTATGAAGTTGCGGAATAAATTGTTTGGAAGTTGGACCATATTATAAATAAATAGGAAATTTTAATATTGAATGTATTATTCTCTCCCCAGAAAAAAAGATGGAAAGGCAAAACTATAAGTTCTTCTTGTAACCGGAACTGATTGCTTGGATTTGGTCTCAAAATGTGGTTAAACGCAAAAGTGAACTCAAATATTGGAAAAAATACATTAAGCGAACGAGAAAGGAAGTAACAAAGTCTCGGAAAAGAAAAAAAGGACAACATCCATTATATGGCTAAACGAATGTATAATAGACAGATGGACAGAATATTCCAAGATGCTGCTAAAAGGGAGTCAAATGCAGGAGAAGTTTTAATGATCTTAAAGGGACGATTATTATCATGAAGGCCATTTTATCAGCAAGAAAATTGTTCGAAAATGTTGGCAAGTCAACTGGTCTGGAGGAAGTAAACTGCTGCGCGTGCATAGGCAACAAATTTATTAGAAAATGATATGAAAGGACTGTAGTTTTGTACCTTTACAAGAAAGGAGATACTAGGGAATGTATAAATCGTAGAAGCTAGAATAAGAAATATAGTCGATTGCCAAAGCGATATAGTTGAGAGACACAAGTTGCACAATGCAACAGAAGTTGCTAATTGGGACTGTCTTCACTTAAAGGCACTTTACAGAGAAGTCCATAAAGAAAGAAAAATAGCTCTCTATCTGCTTAGTGGCTCACACTTTGGATTGTCCTAATATCTACTTGTCTTTGAGAAAAAACTCGTTTTCCTTTTAGATTCCTTAAAAAAACTTTTGCAAATGCATTAAACAGAAGGAGAGCTATTTCCCTTTCTTGATAGACCTCAAAGTGAACATAGTTCCAATGTGCTCCTTCAGGAGCAATCGATAATAAAGTGGTCTTCACCATAATAAATCTCCATCGTCCACTTATGATCATCCAAACTTCTCCAGCATTTGACTACCTTTGAGCAGCATCTTGAAATATTCTGTTCATCGGTCTACTATACATTCGTTTAGCCATATAATGGATACTGTTCCTTTTATTCTTTTCCAAAGTTTTGTCACTTCCTTTCTCGTTTGTTTAATGTAATTTTCCAATTTTTGGGTCCAATTCCGCGTTTTTCCTCATTTTAAGACCAAATCCATACAATCAGTTCCAGTTACTAGAAGAACTTATAGTTTTGCCCTCCCATCTTTCTTAGTGCGGAGAGAATAATACATTCAATATTAAAATTTCCTCTTTATTTATAATATGGTCCAACTTCCAAACAATTTATTCCGCAACTTCATAACAATAAGTTTTACTAAACAACTCGGCAACTATTCATTATATGAAGTTCAGATTAGGTATATATTATTTTAGTTTATAAAACAGGTATTGATATGACTCATTTCTTGGAAAGTATATACAATTTTAATTACCCGTAAGAATTAGTAAATATACAAAACAAAGTGTTAAATTGCCAACGTTAAATAAAAAATTCCAGATATTCAGCAAAGTATTTTTAACTAACTTTTATCATTATAATTATATCAATTATACAATTGATGTCTACTTAAACGACCTCTGTATAGAATAAAGGAGGTTAAATAATATCGTCAATAAAACCAATATAATGTACCAAAAACGTTATTATATCACTATAACTAAGCCATTTATGTGTACAGAATGGTTTGTTAGAGACCTGTAGGAACCACTTTTCTGCCGCATAAGTGCAATTTGTAAGAAACTACTTCAAATATTTTAAAAAGTAATTAGTGTTCTAGAAAGAGAAATATATTCTCCATATGTTTTATCTTAGCTCATTTTGCGTTAATGTTGGCGGTTTGATTACAAACGACGCTTTATTTTTAACTTGAAAATTTTTTGTTAAAAAAGTTGATTTTACTGGTGTTTTTTATTGCCTAAGCCAATTATTTTTTAATATTTATTCATGTTTTATTATTTTATGGCTATTCAGCTTTAATAAAAGGCCAACTATGAGGAAATTAAGCCAAGTTCTGATTCTCAGTGACCAAAAAGCTAACTAAAGTAAAAGTCATTAATCCGCCATCTTTTGACGCCATTTTGGGGCAGTGCATTCAATTTTTTTTGTGGAAACATTGCCTTTTTTTTTAATAAATAGTTAAAAGGAACACAACGATATGCAATTTATAGATATTTGGGAGGGAGGGGGAAGGTGCACGATAGGATGTCGGCCCACAGACTACATGGGAAAACAGCTCCCATACCGTCTGCTCTAATACATCATACCTTATTTTTTCATAGTATCGTTTTATAGTAATATGGTAGTATCGTTTTTACATTTTTTAAAATTGCAACTAAAATTAATAAGACCTATTATAATATATGACATTAAATTGTATTTTTAAATTTATTTATTTCCACCTTACCCTGCTATAAGCAATACAGCTGCCGGACGCTAAACATATGTAGGCAACATCTCACTACTGTATAAAAGCAACAATAAACAACAATAACTAATAACTATGAATAACATATAAACATCAATAACTAATAAAAAAAATCTGGTGTGTCCACTCACACGACTTTCCTACCTATTTCAAAAAGTTTTTATATCATTACATATGTTCATAAAGAAACAAAAAAAGAATTGAACTAGATACATTTTCCTGAAAATTGATCAAACATAAGATTTGAGTACGATTAATTTGATAAACTAAAGCAAGGTAAACCGGCTTAAGATAGATCAGTGTAAAAATTTCAATAATTCCTAATATTGCTGATCAAAAACTTTTTGGCATAGCTTAGTATTGACAAACAATAATTTCTGTTGAAAGTATAGGAAATAGTGAAGGTTGTGTGATGCGGGCAACAGATTTTCTTACTTTCACTTAGTCGTCTTTATTCTCTCATTCACCCCTTTCTGACACCAGGATATGAAACCTTAATCTTACATTGGAAATTGAATAGCTGTAACTTCGTTAATAGTTGTCCAAAATGAACGATTTTTATATGCTTTGTGGAGAATTTCATTACCTTTCAAACGACCAGGTAACCTTTTTCTTGTGGGAACATTGGCTTTTTTTTTAATTAATTGTTCCAAGGAACACAACGATATGCAATTTATAGGGATGGGGAGAGGAGGGTGCACGGTAGGGAGGTCTGGCCCACAGACTAACACTGCCTCATGAGACACACTCAGATTGGCTCTAGTGACTGGCAACTGAGCCATCCGCTGAATAGTCGCCAACTTTTCTGCCGGAGTGTGAGGTTCCTGTTCCAGGCAGGGGATGCGTAACTCAATGCCCAGGACAACTCTCTTGTGTATGGTCATAACATCAGCTTACCTAAGGCCTCAAAACACGCCCAACATGATTAAGGGCATTCCGGACAGTGGCCAACCCATTTATCAGGTAGTCCTAGTGAGGGGTTATGTTAAATCATCTTTCTAATCTCACACCAAGGTAAATTACCACCTCATTTGGATGTATTCTTGTTCCTTGAATGTTTATTTATAGGATCAGCCCTATCTGTGGTACCAAGCCACTTTGCAGCGAAATGTTTTGATGTGGAGTTGCCGGAAGGAAATAAATCGGTAAGCACTGAGCATGCACTCCTCCTAAATGAACTTACAAGCAATTCATGAAATTACAGTCTTCTCCTGGCAGCTGATGGGAGAGGTCGTCGCTCAGCGCTCTGATAATCCGTGCCATTTAGATTTTTTGAGCGGGCAAGCCTGACTGATTTTGTTTGGTTCCCAACTCCTTCCCCCTCTCCTTATTTCCGACCATGCCCCCTTTTCTGATCAATCACTTCTTAGTCCTTGGTGGTGCGGACGAGCATTTCAAACGCTCTGTACCGCTTTCATTTCCTGCTTCCCTGAGGGGGTTGTTGTCTTTCTACGCATTGGTTTGGGATGAAGAAGAGGGTCATCGAGGATTAAGTCCCAAATTAGATCGGTGTCTGATCCTGTGTCGGAGGGCGATGTCGTTGGGGAGGGGGAATAGTCCCCGGTTGAGGAATTATTGAGAAGATTTTTCACCTATTAGAGGGCCGCGGAGTGTCCGGACTCTGTTTTCGAGTTTGCCGAGGACATATGGGCCATGAACTCAAGCACAGTTGTTTTAGAAGGTAGTTTGGACGAATCAGGAAAGATTCTGACTGTAGTTAATGAGTGTAACACACCAGGCGACCTGGAGTAAAGCAATAAACCGGTAACAATAGATGACTCATTCTCACCTATTAATAAATATAAGGAAGCATGAGATTAATAAAAACCAACAATACTAAAAAATTACTACCACACTATCGTAACCTGAAAAAAGTGCAAAGCTAGCTGAAATGGCAAAACAAAAAAGACCATATATCCCAATGATTGCATACTTGGATCCTTACGAAATATCATTATAAAGAACAGCTGCACTTACCCTCTCACTTATGAAAAAGTATCCCAATTACTCGACATGGCTTAAGGGAAAAACTAATACAGCGCTGCAGATACCATTTCTGAGTTTACAAACAATGTAAACTGTGTAAAAATAATAGTATCAGATATCTGAAACAAGGTATCACATGGAGGGCTAAAAATAAGAACTTCAAAACCAATAAAATCTTTGAGTGAGGAGCACTCCTTGAACAGTTTCGAGCCTTAAAAATAACACATAGGGATAGCAATAACTTGGGAGACAAACAATATTTTGCCATTTAAAATTAAAACAATAGTACAATGGAAATGTAACAAGTTTTTCTGACACTTAAGCATATAAACATGCTAATAAACGAAGAGAATTCACTACATTTTTGTCTCCAAGAAACACAAACAAGGAGATAAAAAGAGTAGGATATATACCGAAAAGACAGAATAGGAACCTCAAAGTCATGGGGAGGAATTGCAACTTTTGACAGAAACTACATATTTGCAGAAGTATTCTCTTAACACCTTAGTAATCTGTTAGCTCAAACTTCGAAGCAACAGTGGTGATTATTTACCAAAACAAACTATTTTATCTCTGTAACAGTTAAATATTACCATCAGAACCATTGACAACAGAGATATTCATTGTTGATCAGATACTCAGACTCTACATTTGTTAGATGACTTTAATGCCTTGAAGTTCAACATTAGCTTACATTGGATACAGGGATAAACAGTTAAAACTCAGCCCTACAATCACACTCCTAACACAGACGAAAATACTCATGTTTTTTCGAAAAGTAATAGGTTTTCTTCAATCGACCTTAGCTTTAGCGATGTTCGACTGGCCCCAGAAGTCATATGGGTAGCGAAATAGGACCTATACGAAAGCGATCATTTTCCAACCACCTCGAAGATGAAGCGCTACACTCCAACACCAATGAGGAATCGTTAATGGCAATACTGGCAATAGATCATCTCACACAAGAGTACTATGGTAGAATGAAAAATACCAAAAAGCCGGGAAAGCGAAGAAACGAGACCTCAGCTAATTCAGAAAGACCAGAAGTGTGCGTGATGTGATTGAGTTTAAATGACTTAGGCCATTGCAAACAGGACTATCAAAGAAAGCAAATGATCATCATGGAAAGGCTTTTGTGTCTTCAATAAATCAAAACACCTCAATGAACGAGGTCTGGAATAAAGTAAATAGTGTTTGCGGGATTTCGAAGAGACTGCCTCAATACGAAGAAACTCCTTGGTATAAGGAGTGAACAAAACATTATAACTGCCCCCGGTGAAATCTCGGAAACACTGTCAAAACATTTTTAGAGGATATACTCTAATTCCATCCAAATTCCTACACATTGCAGAAACGAACTAATCGTCTGAACTTAGGCCACGAAGAAAACTACAATGTTCCCATCGGTATACATGAACTCGAAATATTTCCTACCGTAATGCACAAAGAAATTAGCTGTGGGAGTGACAACCCAATGCTAAATAATCTACTTAACTCAATGGTCAAAGTGGCATTCTTTTTATTGAATCTCAAGGAAGGAATAAACAGCTCTCTGCAGATTAAGAATTGGACATTGTGAGTTTTCGCTAGTCTAACTACTAGAGGACTTGACCATCTGACTTGTGAGGTTGGAAATGGCCAAACCAACCAGAAAATTTAAAAGAGAGCGAAGAAGCTGTTAAAAAAAATTAGCATTTCTAAAAACATGGAAACTGTATAGTAGAATTCAACTTGATGATGTTGCCAATGACCCTTAATGGTGGAGGCAACATAAACAACAAAATAAATATTTTTAGTAATTAAAATAAAAATAAATTTTCATTCGTTATTTGAAAAAAGTTTTGCCCAAATGTGGTGTGAATATACTCTTTCTCAGCCGTAACCGTTCTTCATGTAACATAATGTTATATTACTAAATTTAATATAAAACAATACAAAGCTTGCCGCCTTTGGTAGTGACAAAGCAAAAGTTAATAGCAGTTTAAAAACTATAAATAACATTTTAAAAAAAAGTTTGGTTAAAAATTATAAAAAAATCATAATAAAAATAAATAAAGAATAATTTCTTACAGATTCTATTTCATTCATCCATGATAAACTAAAGACATTGGTTAAATATGTTCTTCTTTCTTCATCAAAAAAGGCAGCCTGGCTTTTCCCTAGTGGGTTGGTCGCAGTCAGTGCAATAACTTTGAATAAAGTGAAAATTAATAACTTACATTAGAAATATTATATCAACTAAATTTTGGATATTAAAGGTTCTACCTAGCCTCTGTGATGCACCTACCATTTTTCGTGCCTAGAAATAGAGCGCTGAATATGGAACCTGTCAGACTAGATTCGACGTATATTATCAACTATGGAATAAAAAAAAAAAAAAAAATTAAATAAAAATAAAAAACAAATTGTACTTCAAAAGTGGTAATGGAAGGAGTATTATGAAGATTCTGTCTTGGTATAAATTAATATTTTATTATTATTAGATTTACTTGCTAACCAAATTTAAAACATTTGTTCTTTTTAATACTATGCTAATATTTTCAATCAATTTTTCAGTACCAATTGTGACCTAGAAATTATATATTACTTTAATACCTTAAAAGAAAATATCATTATGAAAATGAAGAAGATATATAGGAGGTTGGAAAAATATTGCTACATCGAGATTTTGGTATTTTTGTGATATTCATTCCTAGTCCCAGTTCATTACCGGCTTTCATCAACATTGTTTTATTTAGTAGTTGTAGATTGTAGATTGCAGATTCCATGTCCGCATTTAACAGAACCAAATCATCAGAATAAAAAAGTACGACCATTTTTTCACCCACATTCAAAAGTTAGGTCATATAGGATCCCCATCTGAATTGGACAAGCCAACGACTAGACCTACACCACGTATGGATGACTATTATTCAGAGTAATGTATAATTAAATGTAATCTTGAAACTTTCTCTGAAAAGTTTCTTTGTATTTCAAATAGTATATGAACACAGCACTGTCGGTTGTAGGAAGACTGATTTTACAAACTTTTTGTTTTCTGCTATCCTGGTACATATGACCTATTGCGGACCTCTCTTCTCACTGGATTTCATAAATTTTTAATTTTGCTCCAAATACTATAGACTACTGATAGTATTTACTACCCATCTTGCTCATTTTTCGTAATCCTTCCATTCTTCCATGAAGTCTGCGTATGACATTTATATCGAACTATATGTAAGCAACAATATATGTTTTAGGGAAAGGTTTTGTAAGGGTGTATGTAAATAATGATATCGTGCCCTCACAAAAGTGATGACATCTAACAATGCTGTGTTCTAACATTTTTCGGGATGCGATGCCACTTGATAATTTTTGGGGATAATTACCCGGAAATATTTAATAAAAATTAATAATATAAAATTACTGAAACAAATTTGAATCTATAATATATTGATTGTTCTAGATTAATTAATTGGATTTATTTTCTCAAACTCTGGTTTTTGTTTAACATACTTTCCAATCACTAACATTACCTATGATAATAATGATATAAATAGGTGACAGAATTAAAAATAGGTGTAAAAAAAACATACTTTATTCCTGTGCTCAATAAAAAATGATATACCAATTATGTGGAATTTTTAATGTACAAAATATATTTACAATAAAATCAACAAAAACATGATTCTATATATTTTAAAAGAACTCTATGAAGACATGATTAGTTAACTATGACTAATTAGAGATATATGCCATGAAATATTTTAACATTAATCAATCTACTATTGTTTGGGAATTAAACCTAACTGAGGTTTAAGAAATGATTTGGTTAATTGATGTTGATTATCTTTGAGGTCCTATCACTGCATCTGCTGGTTCGAGGTCATCTAGTCCCGTCAAAGCCAAGGAAGAAATGCTGCCAAGCTATAATTCCGGAAAAGCCCATCTCCCAGGTCTGTGTAGATCAAACTCTACCCTCAGTCTCCCAAGCAAGAAGAAAAACATAACAATAAGCCCTCTTTATACTTCTAGAAGATTTTATACAATAATCCAGGGTGGAGCAAGGGTAGTTCTGATTCGATTTCAACTTCGGCGGGTGTAAAATTATTTAAACTGGCCAACAATTAAGGGGCCAGGCTATGTAGGACTATATACAGGAAGTATATACTGTGGCAGGCGAAAAATTCCACCCACTTGATTTTTTTTTTCCATGTTTTCATCTAAAAATATTTCTGTAAAGTTGTATTTGTATATAATACAAGTTATTTGTAGATAATACATAGTATAATATATAGTATAATATTTACGGAATTTTATAATCTTTTTTACCTTCAATAATCAAAATGTGATTAGGTAAAAAAGATTAGAGAAAAAAAAATTGCAAAACGAAGCATTATTATACTAAAAGAAATTAATTACATCATCGTTTAGTAGCGCGTGTTTCTCTTGCCTTCACTACTTCTTGAAGACGCCTCGGCATACTTTCCACCAGTCGGGAAATGTCCCTTTGCTGGAGGATAGCCCATTCCTCCCGAAGAGCCCTTTCAAGGTCCTGCAGTGTACCAGGAAGTGTTGCACGCGCTCTTATTCGTCTTCCAAGCGTATCTTATAAATTTTCAATGGGGTTCAAATCTGGAGAATGTGCTGGCCAGGCTAAAATCTCAATATTGTTCTGTTGAAGGAACGTTTGCACTATGCGTGGCGTGGCGACATGTGGGCGTGTATTATCGTGCATTAGAATAGAACGATCGCCGATTTCGTTGAGGATAGGCAACACATGAGGTTCCAAAATCTCATCTACATAGCGAATGGCCGTCAAAGACCCTCCACGAACAACAACCAATTCTGTGCGACGCTCCATTGAAATCCCAGCCCACACCATTAAGGAACCACGTTGGAAAGGTTGGCTTTGGGAAAAATTACAGGGTGCATATCTTTCGTGTCTTCTTCTCCACACCCTTTCACGCCTGTTTGGAGATCGAAGAGCGAATCTTAACTCATCTGTAAAAAGTACAGCGCTCCATTCGTTCATAGTCCAATGGCTGTGTTAACGAGCAAAAGCCAGCCGTGTTACTCTGTGAGTTCTGGTCAACTCTTGTCCTCTTACTGGACGAATAGCCATTAATCAATAGTCATTTAATCTTCTCCGAGCGGTACGTTCAGAAATTTGCACACGTCGAACTTCTTCGAGCTGATGAATCGCTTGAACAACGGTAAGGTGCCGGTTTCGTAAAATTCGCAAAGTCCAAAACCGCTTATCCCGTGGTTCTGTTACCCTAGGCCGTCCAGAACCGGGCCTTCTATTGTAAGAACCAGTTTCCCGAAAACGCCTGACGGCGTCTCGTAAAGTTTCATATGGAACTCCGATGGCATTAGCTTCATATCTAATGGAACGTCCATAATCAATAAGTGCCACACCACGCGCAACATCCTCATCACTAAGAGGCATTTTTTAACTTAATATTGAAAAAATTAAAAGCCGGAGACTAAGAAATGTGCTGCAAGAAACCGTACTGAACTAATGATACTGAATAAACATTTTGATTTCATAGAAAGTAATCATTGGAATCTAGAATCATTTCATTGAATTAAGGATTAAGGGTTATTATCCTCTATATTAACATTCATTATTGAAAACAAACAAAAAGATTACCAATTTATTCATTAAAAACAATAGACCAATCCAAAGTAGAAATATTTTTAGATGAAAACATGAAAAAATCAAGTGGGTGGAATTTTTCGCATGTCAGTGTAGCAATACTGAACAAAAGGTACCTAGGTGTCTTTAAGTGCTACTCCACCTTGACGGACCCATGTTCCTGTCAAGAAGCGTTCGATGTTGGCATCTTGATATTGAGTTTAAAATTTGTTCTGTTGGGTACATAGCAATCTAATATGTAGGAATACAATATGTAAAGTAAAAAACAATACCAAGAGTTTCTCAACTTATTTTGAAACTAAGTGTCATCAAAAGATATAGTAAAATACATACTTTTGAATATTTTGATTCAGCTTTCATGGAATCAATGGATTTAACCAAATCATCTACAAATATATCATCTTGAGGCAAGCCAAGAACTCCTAGACCCCCGTGGCCTACAAAGTTGACAAACACAACGTCATCTGGTCCACTAGAAGAAATTGACTTCTTAGTGATAATCAATTAATAAAGAGATGAATATAAGTCTATAATGAGATAATTCTACCTTTCAATAACTTTGCCACTTCCAATGTTATTAACTTCAGATTTTCGGCCAGTTAAAACAGCAAAGAAATTTTTAGATTTCACTTCCTAAAAAAAAATTAAAAATCAAATTAAAAAAAACTTAATCCTTATATGCTTTCTCAAATGTATGTTTTTATTTATTTTAATTTTATGAATTATAATTTTCAATAATATAACTTTGTAATCGTTCAAAAAATTAAAAAAAGTTGACTTTCTCCCCTTTCAAAATTTGAAGTTTTACGTTTCAAGATATGTAGAACTCGAAAATGGAATAAAAAACATTGTCGGTTGGCCGTACGTCGTCCTATTTCGGCCATACTATCCGCTCTTTTCTTTCAAGATTGTGGCTGAAAAACCTGTGTTGCTATAGACTGTAGAGCTTAAAAGGATGTACAAATTTCAATGAAACTTGGCTAAAGTTTTCTCCTCTATGCTCTTTTCTCCTCGAACACCCAACAAACAGGCATACGGAAGATATGTTCAAAATCAAAGCGTACCAATTCAGAGAAGACGGTGTTTTTAGGAGGCGATAGAAGAAATAATTGGTAAAGGAGAATATCAGCGATGACTTGGAAACTTCATGAAGCCTTCAAATCTATACTGGTGATGGTATCAGAAAATGTTTGTGTCATAAGCAGGGGTAAGGGAGCGCAATGGAAGAAAACCATTGTGCGATGACCGGTTTAAAGAAACAGTTAAGAAAGAGAAAGAGCTCTGGAAGAGATACTAAGCCAGCGATTATAAGCGGAACTTGAATATTTCCGCGGGGCTAGTACCGAATATAAGGAGGATAGAATGAGAAAATCATCCTGGAAACTCATTTACTAAGATTACTATTGAAGATCTGGAAGAGGATGATTATTTGATGAAGAAGAAATTTTCGAGGCTGTAGTCACACTTAAGATGGGAAAGGCAACAGGAAATGATGGCATAACACAAGATATGATAAAGAAACTGAGAGGTCAAGGAATTAAAATGCTGTAGCTCCTTTTCAATCTGACATGGAAGAAAAAGAAGATTCCAGGAGACTGGGAAGTCTACGTAATTGTTCCTATATTTAAAAAAAAATTGACAATAAAATCATTCCATGCCAAATCATCCAGAGCCCGTAAACCAACCCCTCAGATCTTAATGAAAATATTTAACTTTTTTTTTATTTATTTATTTAGACATATAATAAATTAAAAATAATTAAAAATCCAAATTATAACGAAATCCAAATTAAAAATTATACCCAATTATAACGATTAGTTATAAAATTATCGGCATTTAAACTTTTCAAATATTTTAAGTTGTTAAATGTTAAGTTAAAATATAATATCTTATATTCACTTCTACACGTTATACCTTCTAAGATTATTATAAAATAATAAACGCTTTGGGTATACAATAAAAGTACTGTAGGAACACTAAAACACTATTTTTTAAATCTGTATTATAATAAACTTCATTAAATTGAATAGACCAGACCAATGTTATGTTATCTTTGGATGAATATTTTATGCTGTTTCAAGTAGTACATGGTTTTATTTGGAGAGTGATTATAGCAATTTTCACTTGTATATTTAACTGATTACACTTCTATGTATATAACTGATAAATTAAATTTTGATAATTGTATTAGATTTATATTATATTATAGCACTTCAAACCCAAAATCCCACTGATGTTATTTTTTCATTTGATAGAGAATTTCATGCTGTTATCATTAATATATAGTTCTATTGGGGTATTCGGAGAGAAATTGAGAAAAGCTACAGATATTTTTCTTTATCGATTAGCACACAATTTAAGCAAACCACAAAAAATTATTTCATTTACATTATAATAAATCTCTTATAACTAAAATTTCCATAAATATTATTATAAAATCTGATAATAAATTGCATACTCTTTTCAGTTATATTTGGTGATATATAGGATATTTGGAGATAGATTTAAGCAATTTTTAATTTTATTTGTAGCTGGTAAATTCAAATTTACTGTATTGGGTTTGAAGTGTAATAAAACTCTTCAAACTCAAAACCCCACTAATATTATGTTGGCATTTGGTAGAGAATTTTATGCTGTTCATTAATATATGGTTGTATTGTGGTATTTGGAGAGAGATTTTAGTTACACATAGTTTCATATATTTTTATCATAAGTTTAAACATTTATATTTAAGAATGTTTTTATGCATAAAGAAAAATTATAATGCTAAAAGCATATTTATTATTAAATTTATGACAAATGTTTAAATTTTTCGATGCTCTTGGTATATAAATATTGGTTTAACAAACGAAAACATAACAGATATATGCTTTTTTTTAGCTCAAAATGTCTTCTCAACTTAAATCAATATTTCAAAAGTTTAAATGCCCATTACATTTTCGGATTTATTCAACATTTCGACTCTAATATCGCACAACTATAAAATGAATTTGTTGGTAATCGAAGCCTTAGTTTTAAAAAGTTTATCAATTTCTAGATTTCGAATCGATTCATTTTGACTTTTTTCATTCATTCTAATTAGATTTTATGATCAATTCAAGGGAAATTTCAAAAAAAATTTTTTGTTACAATCGATTTTAAGGTAGTGAAATAGCATATTCATTTATTTATGCTATGGGCATTAGTTTTGAAAATGTTTTGTCAAAACTCCAATTAGTTCAGGACTCAAAAAGTAGTCAGTTGACGGCTGCATTACCCCACCAATACATACTTTTCCAGTATAATCCTTTGGCACACCCTTATAGACATCTTTTCCACCTGGATAATTTACAATGATACCCGGTGTAGGGTTTCTGAAAACAAATTGAAATTTATTTAAAAAAAGGTATATTATAATACACATAGATTTTATTTACTATAACATACTTTTTATGGAAAGCTATGTCATCATACATCATAACGATGATGTTATCATCAGGAATTCCGCTACTACTCAAAATTTGGTAGGCATGGCAGATGTCCGCCTAAAAAATATATATATATATATAAATAAATAAAATAAACTGAGTTTGGCTAATGTGAATTTTTATAGTGTTCTTTACTCAAAATAAATAAAGATTGATTGATTGGATTAAGGTGATCTCTCATCCAAACGTTTTAATCTCCTCATACTCAGTTTCAGTGGTAGCTATCTCTCTTATTATACATATTTTTGATATGTCCGGTTAAATAAAAAAAAAAAAAAAAAATGTCTCCAAAAGGGTCGCTATATATTGTTGAACTGTTGGTAGGCCCTCTGTCGTTATGTAGAGGTTCCGTTAGTCACGTACCAAGGAGGTGCTTTTGTTATAAGATTTATAAGTTTCTGGAGATGGGTCTTTAATAAGTATGTCGATACGGGCTTAAGTATTTTGTATATGTATTAAGTTTCTGTTTCAGCTTCAGTTTTGAAGTTTTAGAAAAATTAAAGTTCTTTTTTTTTAGCATCTTCCCTTTTATTTTTACAGGTGGACCTGAATAAATTCCATTGATCTATAACTGCATAATGGCAGAAGTGGTATTTTTAATCTACACCTGCCGAATCAAGTATTGCCCAAAGGTAAGAAAGGAAATAATAAATCCATAAATAAAAATAAATGTCCAAGATACATTATAAACAAAGTAGGGAGATCTCTCCAACTGAAGTTGAAAGGAAACTATACGGAAGCCTGCAGGACCTGAGGAGGACTACCGAATTCTTTATTTTAGTTTCTGACCTAGTCATATAAGGAAGAGCGCAGAAGAAGAATTATAAAGAGGACGGAGCCAAGGTACATTGCTGTCTCCAACTTGATGATGGAACTGAAAAAAAGAAACACACAAAAAAAAAAACAGTAATTAAATATGAACATATGTGTTGCTACTAGCAGATTCTCTCATGCAACTATAATAATAACGCTTTATTTATTCTAGGACAAGTTTCCTTTGAATGGAGATATGAGCTTTGGAGCTTCAGAGAATAATCAAGAAATAAACATGTATATATAATGAATAAATAAAATAACAAACTAAAACAACATCTATTTACAACTTTACATTTTTATTAGGACTGAACGGATAAGATATTATTGAACAGGCGGGGTTTAAAGGTGGGGATGTATTGGAGCAACGGTTGTAGGAAGGGATCGAATTCCATAGGGATACCGATCGAAAAATGAAAGATCTGTCGAAAGTAGTTGTTCGGCGGGCCCTAAATTTAAATCTGAAGACCGAGAACGGTTTTTGCGGGAGTGGACAGAGACGTAGAATTGAAGGAGTTCTGAGATATATGAAGGACGGCGGGAATGGGAGACTTGGAAGAATCACTAAGAATAAATTGTTTTCAATAGAAAGTTTAGATTTTCTGTTTAGTAGTCTGTATAGATGGCCGTTTCGTTGGCTGAGTTCTTGTCTTTTGACTCTAGTATGTGAGTTCCATGTTAGTCTTAGGTCTAAATGAAAGCCAAGATACCGGATGTGTCTGAGTAAGGAAGCTGGAATTAAAGTGTACTGGTGGACAGAAATTGCGTCGGAGTGTAAAGGTAATATGTTGGCATTTGAATTCATTAACTTTAATGTGCCAGTTATTACAAGATTGCTCAATCAAGGAGAGGTGCCTTTTCAGATTTAACGATGCTATTTCTGGATCAGAGTTGGATGATAAGATTGCGGTGTCGTCAGCGAATGTTGAAAGGAAAGTATTGGGATGAACAGGGATGTCAGCAGTAAAGAGGATGTAAAGGACGGGGCGTAAAACGCTGCCTTTTAGAACACCGGCTTTAACGGAATAGATATTGGAAAATTCTGTTCCACAGCTAACTCAAAAAGAGCGTTCAGAGAGGTAGGATTGGAGGACTAGGTTAATGAATTTTAAGCTTGAAGAGCAATCCAGTGTGCCATACCCGTTAAAATGTCTGTGCAATGTCAAGAAATATACCCGAACAGTATCCCTTGTTTTCTAGGGCTAAGGAAATATGATCAACAACTCGGAGACCTTGTTGAACAGTAGAATGTTGAGAGCGAAAACCAAACTGATGGGAAGGAATATTTTGGGATTCTATAATGGGTAGGATTCGTTTCAAACTCCGCCCAGAAGCCGTCATCTTGTCGGAGGGAATGGGAAATGTGGTGAGGGTTTAGAATTTTTGTTGTGGTTTTCCAAAGGGAATTGTCGTGAGAAGAGAGGAAGGATAGGTAGGAGTTGAAGGATTGTGATCTTAAGGTGGCTAATTCCAGTTTTATTTTTTTATAGTAAAATTATAGGAGCAGCGGTCCGTAGGATGTCGAGTAGTTGCCACAATAATCTGGTACGACGTTTGCTATGGATTAGTTCAAGGAGGTGTTGGGGTAGAATGGTCTTTTTAAGAATTCTTTGGGAGTATTTTGGGAAGAAGGCAGCCCAGACAGATTGTTGGATTGTGATAGTAAAGGAATTGACAGCACTAGCAAGTTCATCGGGATTTTTAGGGATATATTAAGATCAATTTTATTGGAGAGGATATGGCGTAAAAGGTCTCGGTTAACTGAGCCCCTGATAATTGGAGGATCTGGGAACGAACTCAAGTGAAAAATTAAAAATTAGAGGACTATGGTCACAGGAAAGTTCATTTAGATGTGTAATGGAGCAATTGAGGGGACCTAAACCACTGTGGATAAAGAAATCAAGGATATCAGGATTACGGTTAGGATATGTGGGCCAGTATGTAGGAGATTGGGGGAAATGAGGTGAAGAGTTGGGAATTGAGTGCAGACAGCAGAGTTCGGCCAAGGGAATTCGTGGTACTGGAACCCCATTGTTGGTGGTTGGTATTTAAATCTGTGCCCAAGATGAAGTGATGTCCTAAGGAGTTGAGAAGAGAACTGAACTGGATATTGGATATGGATCTGTTAGGAGGGCAATGATAACAGTACCGGCATTTGCTTTTTCGTCAGGGTGGTCAGTACGATATGTTAGATATTGTGTTATTTTGAAGTGCTGTTTAGTGGTTAGTCGAGTTTCAGTAATTTGTGACACGTCAATGTTCTTGTCAAATAATAATGCAGTTAGTTCATCTGGATGATTGGACGTAACAACATTCGCATTCCAAAGGAGAATGGATACCTAATTGTGGGTAAATGGTTGACTGTCGCGAATAATGAAGAGAAGGACGGTTGGTGTGATCAGGGGTGATCAAATCAGAAGGCAAAAATAAATGATAATGGAGACAAAAATAAATGAGAATGGATATAGATTTATTGGAAGTCATTTAAGGATTTTTCGAGGGAGGGATAAAATGTGATACAAGATTGGTGAGCAGGGATATCAAAGGAGTAACAAGGATCTGAATTCGGAGAGGAAGGATGTAAGTAACTTGGTGAGATCTGTGGTATTTGATGGAAGAAAGATGTGAAAAATTTCGCGTGGGTGGGTTGGCCAAATGGGCAAACGCGTGTGCATATCACCGCCGTTGGAAAACCCCGTATAGCCGTATAGAGGAAGATGAGGAACAAAAAAAAAAAAAAAAAAAGGTTAGGATTGAGAATTTGCTTTATGACATTCAAGGTACAAAGCACAAACTGCAGAATCTCGTTTCGGTTTTGTGCACCCACCGGATTTGTGCTGCTCTCCACATTTCACACAACGCGGCAGATCATGGCAGTAAGTCTTGGTGTGGCCATATGTTTTGCAATTATGGCACTGTACGATTTCCCTCTTACGATATGGCTTCTCTACTATAAGTATTGTGTAGTATATTTTTCTTATTTCATATATTTTTCCGATCCCTTGAGTTGGCTCCGAAAAATAAGATTACAGGATCTTTTACTCCTGGCTATTCTTTACTCTCTTTCAGCTACATTTGTAATCTGGCGCACTACGAAACCTAAATTTTTCAGTTCTTCTTCTATTGCTTCGGTTGGTGTTGTGGGGTGTATGTTTCTTATAACCACAAAGCTCGCTCTTGGCGTAATTGATACGTATGAAAACCCGCTTTGGTTTCTGTTTGATATTTCACAATTTTTCTATAGGTTTTAGCTATATCTGGTGATATCTTCGTGTCATTTGATCTGCTTAGACATGAATAGCTTCCAGTGCCTGTTATTTTGTTCTGTTGAGAGCATAGTAACTGAATTTTTTATATGTTTTTAACGAATATCGGTGGAGCTTGGGGATCTCTTGGTATTGGATCGGACTCCATCACTTCTTTATCATTTTAAAGCACCTGATAGGGGTTGGGGATGAAAATGGAGATTAATCGGTTACCTTTTTTGAAGATGTACCTGGTTGATGCTGAGGTTCTTCAATTCTTTGTTTTGATGATGTACCTGGCTGAGTTTCATTTTCTCTGGAGCTAATAGGGGTTACTGCAGGTGTTTGACGAGGCATTTGATAGACACTCTACTAGACATGATCTGATGGTGATATCGTATAAAAGAAATAAAAGGAAAAATAAAAAAACCTACAATTTATAACAGCAAACAGTGAATATCAATTGTTGTTATGCACCCTTGATCTGTTTTGAATGAATAATCTCAAAGATTACGCTGGAAAATAAGCAAATTCTGAGAGATGGGGTACCAGTGGAATGACCAGCACTCCTAAGTGAGAAATGGTCGTCGATATTAAACAGGACAAGACTCAACTTTGTCATAGAGCCAATAGAAGAAGAATGGTATTATGATTAAAAACATTTTATTCTTATGCTCTATCTTTAAAAAATGGAAACTGAACCGATATATATATATATATATATATATATATATATATATATATATATATATATATATATATATATATATATATAATATATATATAACAAAATTAAATTCATAAAAATAATTTAAGACATCAATGTTTAAAAAAAAAAATAACACATCAAGCATTATTTAAAATATATTTATAAAATGCAGTAAGTTATGATATAATAATTACCCACCTTACTATAATCTTATTTTGTTCATTTCTCAAAAATAAAATAACAAAAATTTACTATTTAAAAAACTTTGTTACCTGATGCCTGTAATTATCCCATCCGTAGGAACCAGCTACAAGCAATGCCCATACGGTTCCGTTCGGATTTATGGGAGGTTCCAAGATAGAAAGAGAGGCAAAATCATAAAAAAGCCAAATATTCAATAAAATAAATAATACACATCGTTTCATCGGAAAACAATACAAGGAACTCGACAAGGTGTTCAATTGACTCCTAGATTGTGCTCATATTAAATGGTATAGGAGGTGGTTTGGTTCCGCATGATGAGGCAGATATTGAAGGGAAAGGAGAAAGGAGCAACGCCAATTCCGTGACGTTTACCATTGTTTCTGATCGGAATATTTTCCAAAAGATCAATTTTAACGACCACAATAAACCGTCTTGTAATACACTATAAAAGTTTATTGAAAGCTACCCATTACAGAAAATATTAAATTGGAAATTGATGTATTGAATTGAAATACAAGAAAGTATTGATTTTATACTAATCTCGTTATTAACAATAAATAAATAATAAATTCAAATGTGTTCGTCAGGCGGGTGGCAGAGCATAACACAACCTGGCTATTGCTAGAAATTCAATATTTAATTCATTTATATATATTCAAATATTCATTCAAAAGCATTTCAATTCATTTATAAACATTATGCTGACTTAAGTTTTACTAGACTTCAATCTGTGAAAAATTACAGGTAATTAGACTTTTAAGTACTTGATTAAATGGTATAATCTGTGTTAATCATTGTACGTTGCCAGGGTTCAATCACATCATTATAGAATAAAACTTAGGAAATTACTATATGAAACTGTTTAGTGGTAAATTGTCTCCTTGCACCCTAGCTTATTAAATTGAAACATTTTTAAATATTAAATTTGCATCGCCTCACTTAATAATAAGGCTTAGCGAACCCGAAGGTTCGATGCCGACACCACCAATCGCTTGTTACACACCTCCATCCACCGTTCGCCGTCCAAACCCAGTCCCTTCAGATCGGCCTTAATGCAATCTTCCCACCTTCGCTTCGGTCTACCCCTCGGACGCTTACCATTCGGCACAGCAAATATTAACCTTTTAGGAATTCTCTCGTTACTAAGCCCAACAACTTTACAAGCCCATTTGATTCGCCGCGATGAAATTACCTCAATTATATTATCCGGATACAGCTCATGCAATTCGGCGTTGTGTAACCGTCTGAACTCTCCGGTTAACTCATCCTTCTTCGGTCCGAATATTCTACGCAATACTTTATTTTCAAAAACCTTAAGACGCTGCTCATCCCTTAATGTAAGCGGCCAAGTTTCGCATCCATAAAGAACTGTAGGCAAGATAATTGTTTTATAGATTCTAATTTTTAAGTTTCGGGACAAGAGGCGCGAACTAAGTAGTTTTGTCACAGAAAAATAACAAGCATTCCCCGCCTTCAGTCTAACCTTAATCTCTTCTTCAATTTCGTTTTTTCTAGCTATCGTAGAACTGCATCGCCTCACTTACCGTTTTTATTTAAATTACTAATTTAAATGTATGTGATGATACTTTACTGATTTTTAACATAGTGACGTAAAATGCTAAGGCTCACAAAAAAATGTTCAAGAAGACATTGAGTGATTATTTATTAGGAATATTTTAGGGACTCGATATTTTGTTTACTATCGTGCGTTGTATTTGCTTCATCTTAATGTTTTTAATGATTTTGGAGGTAACATTTTTTTATGATTTATTTTAAATTACCAGGATGATAAATATTTAGGATTTTCAGTACAGATTTGTTTTATTTAGCTTGCCAATGTTTCAAATCAAGCATGTGGGTCATCTGTTATACCACACCACTTTTCACAATTCTTGTAGCTAGGCAAGTATGCTGATGATGACCTACAAGTTCAGGTCGAAATGTCACCAAACTGAATAAAGGAAATCTAGACTGGAAATCATGATAATTGAAAGTGTTTAGTAATTTATATCCATTCTGGCTCTTATTATAATATAGAAGATGAATTAGCTTGCGGATCGGTTTGATTAGCGTTACATTATTCTTTGCGTAATTTTAGTAACAGTGTTGTATTCAAGATTAAAATAGTTAAGATTTTGCAGTTCATATATGTTAATATAGTTGTGAATAAGGTGATTTAAAATTACATAGGATGCGTTGAAAATTGTTGAAGGGTAGTAGAATAATCGTACTGTTTGTATTTTATTTATATCGATATTGTTCACTGAACTTCTTAGTTATGCTCTATAAATTCAGGCATCCTTAAATATTCAGTTTTAGATATATTATTGCTTTTATAAATTCATTGGAGATCTATGTTGATAAGATGAAAAAGTTTCTTCTTGCTAATCCTTGTATGTAGATGCTGGTATTATTATTTAATAAAACGATACAAAAAATGTCGGTCTAATTAGGTCAGTATAGTTTCCTCACCGTTTTCATTGGCTAAAAAATATACAGATATATATTACAAGGTGTAAGATTGTTCGTATAAGGATAATATCTAAGGAAGAAGCGGTTTATGGAAATTCAGTTATCTCTCAACATATATTGTTTTGATATCCACGAATTTTTTTCATCTCTGAATATTAAAATCCGAAATAGTTCGGCATTTGAAGATTACATATTTGATGATTCGTGATAAAAACGAAAAAATCCTGTTCATACTGAACATGTTTATCGCTACTGTTTGTGCAAAAGGTCATATGTAAAAAAATAATAAACCAAAATTGAGTGTTTTACATAAGAACATAAAAACTAATTATTTCTTTATGATTAATTAGTGTAATTCCATATTTTATTACCCTTTGCTATTTTCTATAGTTGCACGATACTTAAATCAACTGCAGACTACAAAATGTTACCTTCAGCAGAAATAGAATAAAAATTGAAAATTTTTACATACGACATATTATTCCACAACTAGATATTTATACTTAATAGATTTGTTTTCACTGGTAAATAAATGGAACAAAGAATCCATAGACAAAATTTTTCTTTTTGTTTATTCGGAATTAAAGAGACCAATACTTTTCTTCAGTCAGAAAAAAACTAATTGAGCTCGAATATAAAAGTATGCCTGAGGATCACACAACTTTGATATTTAAAGAGGAAATCAAGGCAACAACGAGTTAGCTCTAAGAGAAACAAGAGAAATAAACACAATAACAAATAAGACATAAAAAAAACACGTAGTAAAAATTAATTTAAATTTACAAAAATTACGAGAAATCTAAGTAACGGCAGTTCCATGCGGCCATTATACTGTTAACAGTTATTTATATTATTAAATGAAATTAAATTAAATTGATAATATATAATTTCTATAATATTCACCAAATTTCCTCCAAGTTTGGATCAAATCGAACGAGCCGTTTTCAAACTAAAGACGTGTCAAATAATAAATTTCCTTATCCGAAAGAGGAAGTTTTATTGTTTTGTTTTTTGGCAATAATGGATATCATTTATAAAATTCATACATGTATAAGATAGAAAAGACTAGCTCCATTCATTGATTGTGAAACTGGAAAATATCAAGCTGGTTTTGGAAATGGTAGATCAACGGTTGATAATTATTCACTCTCCTAACGATTCTAGAAAGAAGTCATGAGTATAAAATTCCCTCGAATCATCTGTTTATTGACTTCAAGAGAGCCTAAGATGCCATAAGGGGACACAAGTTGTATGAAGCAATGAGAGAACTGAACATTCCCTTTAAAGTTATTCGCATTCATCCGGAACGCTCCTTGGAGTTTCCCACAAATAAAGGACTGAGACAAGGTGATGCTTTGGCATGTTTATTGTTTAATTTAGCTCTTGAGAAGGTGGTGAGGGACTCTGGAATTCAGACAAAAATCTGCCGCTAAGATGGGCTCCAGATTAATAAGAATAAAACACAATATATGTATTCAGGAGAAGGAGATAATCCCCAAAACCAAAGAATATCTCTAGGCACTTACTTCTTTGAGAATGATCAACAGTTCTCTTATCTTAGATCTCAAATTACAACACACAAATGAGAACTCACTTTAAATAAAATGGAGAAGAGCAGCTGCCAAGCAATGCTATTTCGACCCACTTAGCACATGAGAAGCTCACTACTTAATAGACGTACGAAGCTGAAGCTCTATAAAACGCTAATCCTGACAGTTCTTTCCTACGGTAGCCAAACATGGACCTTAACCAACATTTACGAAAAAGACCTTTTAGTCTTTAAAACGGAAATCATTAGAAGAATATTTGGCCCTGTAAAGGAGGGACTGGATTGGAGAAGTTGAAAGAATAGAGAGGTCTACGAATTGTTTAATGAAGCCAATGTGGCCAGAATAAAAAATTTAGGAAGGTTGAGTTTGACAAGGCACACAACTCTCGTGGAGAGGTCTCAAATCCTGATAAGAGTGCTTGAGGGGCCATTACACTATAAGAGTAGAGCTGACAGACTATTCTTGTGAGACTCTTGCGCAAGACCAAGACTAAGACCAAGGTTTGTTGACGCAAAACCAAGACCAAGCGAGCCTTGGTCTCGTCTTGGTCTTGCGTTTGGGCAATACTATCTGAAAGTAGTAATCAGACGACTGTATCTCACCATCCACGCGGAAGCAATATAACGAGGATATAGAACGAGAATTTACGGCCATTTGATACAGAATACGTCAAATGATAATGTTCACTAAGGAAATAGAGAAGGGCTAAGAGGTAAGGGCAAAATAGCCTTGCTTTTATTTTTAGTCAATGTACAGCAAACGCCCCGGGATCCAAGAAATTTATCAATGTTGAAATGCATAGAAGGGACTACCAAATCTCAGACTCTACTGTAAATACCACCTATACCTCGTAATCCCCAATTCCATCAACTGCAGCGTTCCACTTCTCAACATAGATCTAACTCTTTTTTTTTTCTCAACATTTTTTTCAGTTCTTCCCTACCTCGCCTTCTAACCTATACGGGATTTTAACGGGCCAGAGAGTGAGGGCGGGGAATTTAAAATCCCCTCTGGAACCGGGACGTGAACTGTTTTTTTTTTTTTTCAATATCAAAACTTGTTATCTGGTTGCCGGGCAACTCGCGGTGTTGTGCTCAAACGTTGGCCCATTCGGCCACCCCGCCCCCTTTACATTCATCCATCTAACGACACCTCTGACCTCAATACTTTAATAACCTTCGAGGAGGATTAAAAGGATGGTGGGAGCTGGATAGGGATTGAGCTAGAGGATTTGGATGATGGATAAGGTTCTGGTGAAAGTTTGAGAGACCTTATCAAATAGAAACATAAACCTGCCCCTGATCGTTTCAAAAATCATGAATAAATTCTTCTCAAACGAATC